CCCTTTCTTCCCTTCTTCCTCTTCTCACCCACCGCTCGTTCCCATCCCCGAGGGTTGAAGCATCAGTCGTTCTGCTCCATCGATCCCGTCCGATACTCCGACGACGGCAGGGAAAGAAACACCCCCAGTCGCTCGTTTCAGACCAGGAACCCACCGCGTTCACCGTCGCTCGCTTTCGACCCCAGCAACCTTGCTCTTGCTTTTTTTTTTTTTTGAGGGGGGGGAGCAAGGAAACTCGTTTCGTCTCTCGTCCTGTCCTTCTTCGATCGATAATATACCATCAGAATAACCGGTAAACTCGTAGCAGAGTGTGCGGCCCTTCTATTCTCAACCTTGAATTTCTATTCCGGGGGGGTTCTTCTTTTTTCTTTTTTTCCATTCTATCCTATCTCACATTGTATCTTCTCTCTCATCTTCTCTCATCTTTTTCTTCTTCTTCTTCTTCTACGGAATATAATCGACTCTCTTCGATCGAGTCGCATTCGCTCATACAAATCATCATCGCCACCAACCGCATCGTCCATCATGCCCGCCACAGCAGCAGCAGCCCACAAGAGGCGTCGTCAACGATCCGGCAAGAATCGCCTGGCCGTCGGCCTCGTCGCCGTCCTGGCCGCTCTCACCACTCCAGCCCTCGCATACGCCGACGTCGGCAACAGCAATGCCCCTCTGCCTCCCGACATCACCCCCGCCGCCGAGGTGGCCGCCATGGTCGACATGCGCTTCGCCATCGAGGGCAGCGTACCGCCCGTGACCGCTCCCACCCAGACGCATGTCCCGGGCAGCTCCGCGCGGGAGCTGCGCATGCGTCGATCGCGTAGCCATGTTCACCTGCACAGCAAGAGGCAGGAGGGCGGGGACGGGGACGGGGACGGGACCTCAAAAGAGGAGACGAGCAGCAATAACAGCAGCAACAACAACAACAACGACAACAAGGAGGAGAAGGAGGAGAAGGAGACGTCAAAAAAGGAAACCAGCAACGACGACGACGACGACGACAGCGACGACAGCAAAAGTCAAGATGATGGCAGTGCCAGACCAACGGCAAACTATGTCAAGGCAACCACCAACCAAGAACAGGAACAGGAACAAGACCAAGACCGAGACCAAGATGAGAGCAGCAGCAGCAGCAGCAGCAGCAAGACTGCCACGAAGACGAAGGAGGAGGCGACGGCATCGGGGACGGAAAGGGCCAAGACCACGGCCGATGCTGCCATCACCGCTACCGACGACGATTCCGACGACGACGGCACCACCAGGACCCTGTCGGGAGGGCTGGGAAGCGTAGGGACGGAGTCGCTGTCGCGCGCCACGTCCACGGCCACGGCCACGGCCACGGCCACCACCAGCCGCAGCGGGAGCACGCAGTCTCCCCTCCCCGTGCCGTTCGACATGACGCCCACATCCGCGTTCAGGCTGTCGGACGGCGACGACACATGTCCCGACTTCGTCAGCTCTCTCCTCCGCAACGAGACATTTGCCAACTGCTATCCTCTCTCCATGATGGTCTTTGTAAGTCTCGACACACATGCGCATGCATCGAGGGAGAGGTGAGAGAGGTGGAAGAGAAGAATACTAACAGCGTTATAAAAAAAAAAGTCCTCGCAAAGCTTCTTCAACGCCAAGAGGGAGATGACGAGCATGGTGCGCGTCCTGGACTCTACGTGCGCGGCAGACGTGGACTCGTGCTCCGACTTCATGGCCGCTTCGGCGCAGAACCTGACAGCCTCGGAAAACTGCGGCGACGAGTTCGACGACGGCCTCAGCCTGGTCATGCAGGTCTACAACGGCCTGCTCAACTACCGCACCATGTACACGGCCACGTGCCTGCAGGACCCGGACAGCGACCAGTACTGCTACGCGGGGGCCGTGACCAACACCACCTCGGCCTCGGACAGCTACATCTACTACCTGCCCTACAACCTCAGCCTGTCCGCCTCGACCACGCCCTCGTGCAGCTGGTGCAACGGCCGGACCATGGACGTCTTCCACGCCGCCTCGTCCGACCGCGACCTGCTCATCTCCGAGACGTACGTCGGCGCAGCCAGGATCTTTGACAACTGGTGCGACCCGGACTTCGTAAACGCCACGCTGCCTAACCCCAACGAGACGTCCATCTCTGTCCGCGGTGCTGTCCTGCCTTTCTGGTCTGCACTTGCTGCTGCTGCCGCTGTCATGTTTTCATTGCTGTAGCTCTCTCTCTCTCTCTCCCACTCCCTCGCTCATCTTACCTCCGCTCTCTCCTCTCCTTCTCTCTTTCCTTTTGCCTCTGTTTGATGGTGCACACGTGTTTTATTTCTTATTCTGATCCTTTTCCCCTCCGTTTCACTCTTCTTTTTTTTTTCTTTGGGTCAATTCTGTCTTGATACCCCCCTTCAACAACCTCTTTTGTTTACAAATCACGTAACCTGACGTGACTTTTTCTCTGTCTTATTTACTTTACCTTAATCACTTCTAGGCGCACTTGAGTTGGGATAGAGTTTTTTCTCTCCTTTTTTTCCCAGAAAAAAAAAGAGAAGAAAAACTCATTTTGTCGGATGGGAAAACATGGCTAGGGGGAAATAAAGGCGTATATGTATACGGTGTGAGCCTTGGGTTATTTATTGATACGAGTATATATTTTTCATGTTTTATTCAAGATATTTTTTCTCTATTTCAACCCATGACCGTTTTTTATTTCTGTTCTCTGTTTCTAATTGTTCCTGGTATTTTCTTTTTTTTTTTTATTTAAAAAAAAAGGAAATCTACAAGACCGATGCAAGAGGCCGTATTGCCGTAAACCCCCCCCGGAATCCGAGCTCCTCCGTCATCGTACCTCGGCCGGCGCCGTGAAAGTGGAGATGGTAATACCAGCATAATGCCTTGAGATGTTTTTTCTTCTCTTTGAGTGATTTCGTCAACGACGACACACATACAGGTACGAACACACAGAGCACATCGATACCATCTGTAGCAGAACGGAATCAGCAATTGAGATCAGGAAAAAAAGAAGAAGAAAAAAAGAAAAAGGAAAAAGAGGAGAAGAAGAGGATCGATCAATCATGGCCGAACCGTGGATCGGGTTCCAGTTCCCCACGCGCAAGGTGTCGTGGCTCAAGCGCGACGTGCTCCTGTACAATATCAGCATCGGTTGCAAAGCCGATGAGCCTCAATACGTCTATGTATGAGATTTCTTTTCTCTCTTCTTCTTCTTCTTCTTCTTCTTCTTTCCCCTCCAATCAACTCTTTCCCATATCTTTTGCGCATATAATATATATATATATATATATATACTGACGATAGTACAGGAAGGTCACAAGAGGTTTTCGGCCTTTCCAACACTACCACTCGGACTAGGTATACACACACACACACACACTTGTTCTCCTTGATATATGTTTCTTGTGGGCGATATACACATGTGCTAACATGTGCAGTCTTCAAACTCGACACTCAGGAAGTCATAGACTTCTACGCCACCCAGGGAGCCGTCAAGATCCCCGGAGTCCCGGATCTGGACCCCACGCGGCTGGTCGACGGCGACCGGACGCTGCAGGTGGTCCGCCCGCTGCCCGTCACCTCGGCCGGCAGGCAGTTCGAGTTCCGATCTCACGTGCTCGGCGTGTGGGACAAGGGCAAGGCCGGCACCGTGGTCCGGTCCGAGGACGCCCTCGTCGACGCCGAGACGGGAGACGTCTACGCCCGCAACATCGGCAGCCTGTTCTACGTCGGCCAGGGCGGATGGGGTGGCCCCCGCGGCAGCCCGGCCGACAGGTTCCCCCCTCCTGATGGACTCGTGCCGGATGTAGAGTTTGATCTGGTCATTGATCAGACGGCCGCTCATCTTTACCGGTATGAATTCTCTTTTCTTTCTTTTTTTCTCCCCCCCCCCCCCCCCCCCCCCCCCCCCCCCCCCCCCCCCGCCTTCCTTCTTTTTCCCTCTTTATCTTCCTTCTACTTCCCTTTGTCTTCCTCTTCTTCCTCGTCTTCTTCTTCTTCTTGCATTTTTCTTTGTTCTTTAAAACTCTCTTTTTTCAAGACGTTCCTTCAATATAAACTACAACACAAGATGGAAGAGAGAGAAAAAAACATCTACTAACCCCTGTCAGGCTAAATGGCGACTATAACCCCCTCCACGCAACCCCCCAGTACGGACAACGCATGGGCTTCGGAGGGATCATCATGCACGGCGTATTCGCCTACAGCCAGATCGCCCACGAATTCGTCCGACGCCTGGGCGCCTCGGACCCGACCTGTCTGCGAGAGATATCCGCCCGCTTCTCGGGCCCCGTCAAGCCGGGGGACACGGTCAACGTCAAGCTGTGGCACGTCGGGGCCGCCGCGGCCCCCGTCGAGGGAGACGTCGGCGACTACAGATGGACTGCGCAGGTTCGTGGAGCCGGGAAGCTGTGTCTCTGCGATGGGACGGCACAGCTGAAGATCGATGGGGGCGCTAGTAAGATCTGATGTGTTGCTTCGAACTATTATCAGAGAGGATGAAACAAGCGGGCGGGGGCGCCGTTGGTATCCGGAATGTGGACAGTTCTGCTGATGTATGGAAGGATATGAGCATATCCAAAGTCATGGTGCACGGAATCATTACAGATTGTTCTTTTCTTGTTTGTTTTTGTTCTTGTCCTTGTTCTTGCTTTACCCTACCCAGTTCCCTTTTTATAACCTTGGCATCCTTGACATCTCTGACCTGTTCTGAGCATCCGCCTCTTCACATTGTTTCTTATAGAGAAGAAGTATTCAACAAAGTTGGAGGCCGATAATTCCGTCGCTCAGCTGAGGGGAGCACCCTGGGCAATCTTGGCCTCGCCGTACTTCTTGAGACGGATGGCGTTGATGTTGATGAAGCCCGAGGCGTCCTGGGGGCTGAAGGTCTCGAGCGAGTCCATGGAGGCGTCGTCTGCGCTGTACAGGTTGCTCGTCTCGCTGCTGCGGCCGACGACGTAGGCGTTACCCTTGTAGACCATCATGCGGACCTGGCCGTCGACGTGCTGCTGGGAGTGGATGATGCTGTTCTCGACGAACTCGCGCTCGGGGGAGAAGTACATGCCGTTGTACAGCTGGCGGGACCACGAGAGGGTGACGAACTGGTCACGGAGCTCGCGGACGCGGGTGTCGAGGACGAGACCCTCGAGGTCAAGGTGAGCGAGGCGGCTGTGGTGTACATGTATGTGAGCAGGTGGTTCCCCCGACGGGCTTCGGTCGAGGATACTCAATGAAAAGAAGGAGAAGAAAGCTTACGCAATGGTCAGGCCGGGGGTGTCGTAGCAGCCACGGGATTTCTGGTCATCATTTGTCAGCCGGTCGACGTCTTCACACTGGCGCAGAGAGAGGAGGTCGACCCTACCAGCCCAATGAAGCGGTTCTCGACAATGTCGACACGGCCGACGCCGTTGTCGTGGCCAATCTTGTTGAGGAGCTTGAACAGGGCGACCGACTCGGTAACCTCCTGCTTGTCCTCGGTGACAACCTTGGTGGGGATACCCTTGGCAAAGGAGATGGTGAAGTGGTAGGGCTTGTCGGGAGCGTCGAGGGGGTCGAGCGTCATCTTCCACAGCTCCTTGGGCGGGGTGTGGTCGGGGTCCTCGAGGATGCCGGCCTCGTAGGAGCAGTGGACGAGGTTCTCGTCCATGGACCAGGGGGCCTTGGGGGTGGACGAGACCGGGATGCCGTTCTCCTTGGCGTAGGCGAGCAGGTCGGCGCGGCCCTGGAACTTGGCGATGAAGGCCTCGTCCCTCCAGGGGGCGATGATCTTCATGTTGGGCGCGATGGCCTTCCAGGCCAGCTCGAAGCGGACCTGGTCGTTGCCCTTGCCGGTGCAGCCGTGCGAGAGGATGTCGCACTTGTTCTCGATGGCCACGCGGACCTGCGACCGGGCGATGATCGGACGGGCCAGCGACGTGCCCAGCAGGTAGCGGTCCTCGAAGATGGCGTTGCACTGGATGGCGCGGTAGACGATCTCGTCCACGAACTCCTTCTGCAGGTCCAGGATCACCATCTTCTCCGCACCGAGGGCCAGGGCCTTCTTCTCAACCTCTTCCCAGTCCTCCTCCTGACCTACATTGGCGAGGAAGCACTGTTGTATTTGTTCATTCCCGTCAGATACTTGTCTTTCCCTTCTTCTCCTTCCTTTTTTTTTTCATCTCATAGAGAGGGGGGTGGGGACGGTATGGGGACGGTAATAACATACGACAACCTGGTAGCCATCGTTGATGAGGTACTTGAGGATGGTCGAGGTATCAAGACCTGGAGGGACACCCTTGTCAGTTCAGTTGGACATGGGGTTTTTCTTTTTTTTTTTTTTTTTGGGGGGGGGGGGGGGGGGGGAGGGGGAGAGGTAGAAAACGGTTCGAAACAGCCCAGAGGGTATAACATCGTCCGACTTATAGCAGAGAGACCCCGTTTCCCATATCTGACATAGACATACCTCCCGAGTAGGCGCTACATCACGCGTAGACAAGAGAGTCAGCGGGCATATGGATCTCGTCACAAGAGTAGACGGCGGTGGGGGCACGGCTGACCAAGGGTAGGCAGCAGGGCCAGCCACAGGTCAATTGGACATGGTAACTCACAGACAGACGCGGCCCTTGGACATGATTGCGTTGGTTTCGAAGGGTTGTGGTGATTATTATGCGTTGGAAATGGCGAAGTAAGCAGGAAAGGATACGTTAGACGATAATAGTCAGCTATTATGGAAATTTTTTTTAAAGTGCTTGGAACCTTTTTTTTTCTTCTTGCCCTGTGATGACTCTGCATGTGAGCAACGATAACCGGCATCGGACCTCTGCCATTGGCGAAGAGGGGCTTACCGCTTATCAGCGGGGGCAGAGAACTCAGACATCGCTCATTTGGCTGACTCATCGTTTCTCTCATCGGAAGTATTGTAGACAGTAGTAGTTAATTTACTACGAGTAATACGGAGACGGCTACGGATTAGAGAATACCAAGACTACCACAACTGTACTACGATGACGGACGTAACAGTCAGTCACCAAAAAAATCCCGTATCTAGAGAATCATTTCAGGCAACCGGCAACGGAATCCCCGATCAGCGACGACTCTGCCAATCCTCAAAGGGCTTCGCCAACGACCATCTGTATTCATCGCTATATATTGCGAGTACTATACCAGCATGCGCTCATCCAACACGTGCCTACCATATCAAGCGGGGAGTGGGGAACAAGGTGGATGATGGACTGAGGCCAAGAAAACGAATGCTACGTGTACGTACTTACTAATAATACTACTATTGACTGTGCTATATCACTACATGTACTCGTACTTGTACGAAATCCTCGCCCACTGCTCCCTACAGGCTACCAGTGCTGCTAATATCACTACATCTACACGCACTAATACGAACCATCGTTAGCACGTGCGGTAGTGATACACGGTAGAGAGCTGAGCTCTTAGGTTACTCCTCCGTACCACCACTAGCTACTAGTAGGAGCACTCTGGAGTCTGGATAGAGTGCACCTGGCTTCCAGACACCGTGGCGAGCCCCAATGTCTTGCTATTCCTCCATGCAAGCTGACATTTCGGTCCTGAGATCCGTGTCCGCGAGTCATCAAGGGCTGCTGGGCTAGTTACCCTTCTGTCGGGCCGGCTTTTAGACTACTAATCGAGATTCTGACCCGGTCGTATTTGTTGACGCAGAACAGTCTCATGCTCTCTGGCTTTGTCTTCTTTCCTCTCCCTGACCTCTTGTTTTCTTTAGCAATGATGACTGGGTCCAGGTGTAGCCGTGCACTCGGCTGGTACTAGTACTGTGGTAGTATCACTGCTAGGAGCACCCTTGTAGTATGTCATGTTGCCAGCATCGATGATTTGTCTCCTCAGGTGAAGACGAATCCCTGGCTCATGGACATACAGCTGTGGACATGTGTGCGATATCAACGACCACTAAGATCGAGTCCAGAGAGTGCTCGACGAGGCGGACTGTATCCACCAATGCAGAGCGAAGGGTGAATTGCCGATTACATGGCCATGCACCCTCAGCACAATCTGCATATATCTGATCGTGCTACTGACACCGGCTGTTCGTAGCTGCATGCTCACAGCCCGTGGCTGTACGGCGCTGGTCCGCGGTCATTCGTGTTGGCCAACGTCGTGCCAGACGGGCGGGCCCTGATGACGGACCTGGTAGTGCAATGCTGCAGCTTGCAAGACGTTAGTGCAGGCTACACGTATTGCACACATACACATCTCTCTCTTCCGAGCCATCATGCGCGACGGCAACCCGTGGGAAAGGATAGCCGGGGAACCACGGGAGGAAGATCCGTCTCAAGGCTAAACCGAGATAGGGAGGGAACAAAGAGAGGCGGGGGGGGAGGGGAGGGAGGAGGGGAGGTCATTTGAGACGAGAAGCTAGCTTTGTTCACACTGAGGAGTCCGTGCTTCGGTGAGCCGCTAGAGCGCTAGTCGTATTGCTCGCTCCTCCCGTAAACGGAGTACTCTTTGCTAGGCTGCTTTGTATCCGTTTCCTGACATGCTAGCAAGGCTGGATGGGACCAAAAATATCCCAAACCGGCCAAGACAGTGGAGAGCATCCGTTCGAGGACAAAGGGCGGGGAGGTCGAAGAGAAGGAGGCTAGAGCTAGGAGGAGGCGGAAGCAGAACAGAGGCTCGAGGTGGTATGCCGATCTCGAGCCTCTGGCTCCGAGTTGGCGGATTCGGGGAGGAAGCTTAGGTAGCACCTTCCTCACCCCCAGTAACTTCGTTCACCTCATATCTGATGGCACAGTGACGACACTTTTCCTCTCAGCCAATGCAAAGCATAGACGCGCACGCACGCTAGACATCAACATCACAGCATCTCACGTTCAAAGTCACAATCATGGCCGCGACAGCTTCTGAGCCCAAATGTGAGGGTCCATCTCCAATGGCGTTACCCTACCGGGCTGGGCTAGCGATTTCACTACGGCGAATCACACTTGCCTCCCATGTCTCATGACCACTTTCAACGTCTATGCTTATGAGCACGCGGAGCGGGGACTTTACCCGTCACCATGGTCTGCCAAAAGGGGAGACGGCATCTTTTCTCTCTCTCTCTCTCTCTCTCTCTCTTCTTCTTTCTTTCTTCCTTGCCTCCCATCCTTCTCGCCCGCTCTACCTGCGTCCCGGCTCCAGAAAGTCTGCTCCGGGTCCGTTGCAGTAGAATCCTGGACGCAGACGGGTACGCCCGCTAGCGCTGCCACACAAGGCACCACCACCCTGTGACTTCGCGAGACTAGCAGACGGGGCTGAATCTTTCGAGGTCACGGTCCTTGCTCTCTAAGCAGTCTCGTTTTCGAGAAACGGCAACGCCGCCGCCTCCTCCTCCTCTTCCTTCCCCACCCCTTATCCAGTCTCCAGCCGAAGCAGCCTCTCCGAGCCGCGGTGAGATCTGGTAGCCGCCATGTGTCGAGATCTGCTAGGGTCGATAGCCTGCTGCTGACCGCGTACATGTAAGGATATATAGGCCACACGGAAGAGGGGGCAGGGGGGGGGGGGCAGGGACTCTACATTCGGAGCTCCTCCCAACACAGAATATTATACCATCCATAGCTCAATACTCAGACTCTGTACGGGACGCCGTTGGCCTTGGCGTCCCGCAGACTGAGCAGCAAGTACATATACACTGATAGGCCAGCATTAGGCGTTGGAATCACCTTGATCCGCTGACGGCACGCACTATGCAAATTAGGAGATTAGAGAATCCTTTTGGTTCCATTTCGCAGGGCCCGCCGGACGGGCCCCTCATTTCTCGAATGGCTGCCATACTCGTACGAGTATTACTGGACGGTCCATGAGCGTGCATCTACGCCCTACTGGTACGCCCTACTGGTACGCCCTACTGGTATGCCCTACTGGTATGCCCTACTGGTATCCGGTATGCCCTGCTGGTATGCCCTCGCGGCATGTCCTCTCAGCATGTCGTCTTGGTAAGGCTGAGTCCATTGTGCTGTATACGGGTCATGGCTCGCGGCGCGTACTGTGTCTTGCTCCGTGCCACCGAGCAACCTGCGAGGCCCGCGCAGCTACGGGTAATGTCAGATGCTACCGCGTCCGCATATGTTTAATCGCTCCGCCTGGATCCTCTGCGACTGATTTTTCTTTCCCCGACTGCCCCTCCCTGAGGGCGGGATGCTATATATGGACGGTTCCACTCGGTCCTTACCGGGGTGGTCAATTGATAATCTGTTCTTACGACAAGGACAAGGTACTGATACTAGTCACATAGTATCATTAGTACGATACGACGTACAGGTAATAATAATATATTATACTTGAAGCACCAGCAGTTAGGCACTGTACCGAGACGGGGGGTTGAGCGTGCCGATCAGTCAGGTATGACCTGCAGAAGACTGAACCATGGGCTTTGTTGCCTCGAAATCCTGTGGACTTTGAGGAAGTGAGATACATTATACCGGGACCTGGGGGAGGAAGCGGGAGCCAGCTGGCGCACGCACCCCAAGCATGTCGGATGCGCTCATTGATGCGCCCTCACGACTAACAGCCTACTTTTCTTTTTTCTTTTTTTATTCTTTCTTTTTTTTCTCTCCTTTTCTTCTTGGCCTAGTTCTCTGGGGCATTCCTCCACCACCCACATTTCATTCAGGTTACCTACGGTCTACGAGTACGACTCGCACTCCCAATCTCTCAACAACTCCCCAATCGACTCTAAACCCCAAACCCCAAACCCCCCCCCCCTCTCCCCAAACCTCGCACGGCCGGTTCCATACTGGCGGGAGCAGCCTCTACGACTTTACGTGTTTGCAGCACCCATATTTCCATCGCGGGAATTCACTCCATCGAAAAAAAATAACGCGCTAAAATATCTTTGGTCCCGACGGCGTGGCATCGAAGAGTGTATTATTTATTAACCGCCTGAACCCTCCTCCCCTGCGCGCACGCTCGCATCTCTCTGATCACGCTGCTCGGCAAACGTGGCGCTTCTAGGTGCCCCAGTCGCAGCAGCAAGCACGGCTTTTATTTGTTTATCTATTTTATAGAAATAATCTCCATCTTCTTTGGCTGCGATAAGTTCCAGTTTGCCCTCTCATACAGGACAGCCTCCCTCTCCCTCCTTTTGCTTAGGGAGATCTACTACAGCTACCCACCTGCTGGTTCAACACAACCTTACCCCCACTCACTTCCCTGGCTGGGCCACACGCGTCTGTTGGCTGCTCTTGCCCTTGACCGACTGTGCAGAACAGGCTGCTGGCATTTTTTTTCCTCCTCGGTCTTTTCGTCTCTGCAGAGACTCGGCGGCGATTCGGCCTGCCATTCAGTCTGAGAGTCACCTCATCTGCGACCGCGCTGGTACTGCATGTACCGCTCACGATCCACGCCTGCTTTTACTTTCTTTGGTACCCGTGTATCGCCGTCCCGCTCGTTGGCCCGGTCCTGCACAAACCGGTCGGATAGGCGTATCGCCGCCGCCGCCGCCGCCGCCGCCGCCGTCGCCGCCGCATCCTTCCAGTCTGATTTGCTGCTGAGCCTGCCTACGTCGCTCTCACCACCATTCCACACCCACTTGGTGTGCGCCCCTTTGTTCTGTTGGTCACCATCCCTAGTTTTAGATGACCCCCATCTAAATGAGACGACGGGCCAAAGGCAGGCCCTCCTCACTCTCCCTCTCTCTCGACTCTCAGATTCCTGCTAGCTAGTCAGCTCCCGACGCGGCCACCACCTCCTCCTGTCTCTTCCTCCCGGGGGGGGGAGGGGCCCCGATTAGGCCCTCACATGGGAAAGCTTCCCCATCATCAAAAAGTGGCCTCACTCACCTCACCTTACCTCGTTTCAATTCGCTTCGCTTCGCTTCACTTCGCTCGCTCACCCGCTCGCTCACTCCGCCACGTTGCTGCCCAATGCTCTTAGCCGAGGCAATTCACGCTCAGCTCACACACACTCACGCCTCGAGTCCCGTCTCGTCCCACCCACTGCCCACGACCGGTCAAGAGTGAGGCAGGATACGCTCGAGGTGCCTATGGAGTTATAAGCACCATGTCTGATCCCTACAGAAAATGGTCCCACGAGGCTCCAGCTCCTCCTCAACCGCACCGGCACGAGGCTCGGACCGCGGCTGACACCACTCCCTGGCGACACCACCACATACGGCTGCCACCTGCATCAAGCCTGCTGTCGGCGCACACGAGTAATACCGAGCCCTTGGCACCTGACCCTGCACTCGTCACAGCCTCGTCTCCCCAGCTCCCGAGTCCCGGCTCCCGATACGGTGGGCACCACCGGCAGCAGCCACCCTCACCTCGTGGCGATGCATCGGGGGGTGCATCGGGGTTCGACGCTCCTCATCCCCATACCCGTCCTCCTCACCTTCCTCCTAGTCATCAGTATAGCACGAGCCCGTACCAGCAACGCTTTCCCAATCACCGGTACCCACCGCACATCACGACGGCCCCTCATGCCCTGCAGGCATCGCAGCCAAGTGTGCAGCCTCCGCCACCGTCACCGGTATACGAAGCATACGGTGCGAGACCACCTGGCTCTCCACCTCGCCGGCATAGTCCCCCATCCTGCCGTCAGCCAAACCCATCGTCATCGGCTCCTTCCAAGGCGGTGACGCATCCGTCGTTGCAGCCGCCAGCACGACAGTTCAATCCGCCGGGCGGCGCGGAGCCGCCACGGACCCCGTCATTCTCACCATCCGCCGCCGCCGCCGCCGCCGCCGCGCCCCAGATCAGAGTCAGCCGCATACCGAACCTGCTGGACGGGGAAAAGCAGGCCGCAATAGAAGGCATAACATTCCGGCTCCGGATGCGGCAGAATCCCAAGGCGGCAAGGGCGTGCGGCTCGGGCGAGCGCGACAGGCGCAACGTCGACCCCCCTCCCATCGTGCAGCTTCACGTCGAGGCTCCCGGTCTGAGGGCGGAGGAGATCGACACGTACCTCCGCTACGAAGGGTACGTGATGAACTGCTGGATATACGACCAGACGGGCACGCACGACGCGTCCAACATGCCGTCCGAGTACCGGTACCAGCGACGGCTGACCGGGTCCCTGGTGGGGACGCCCTTCTACGGAAAGGACGAGCTGGGCCAGGAGGGTTGCTTCTTCCCGTTTCCGGACCTGTCTGTCCGTACGCTGGGCAAGTACCGGCTGAAGTTCACGCTCATCATGCTCAACGTCTCCCGGCCGGGACAGGCCCGGCACTTCCCCATCCTGGCCGAGACCTTTAGCAACGTGTTTGAGGTGTATGCGGTCAAGGATTTCCCCGGGATATGCGAGAGCAGCAAGCTCGTCCGCGCGCTGCGACAGCAGGGCTGCGTCATCTCCATCAAGAAGGGTAACGATAAGAAGAAGAAGAGGGATGTCCCGGACCCGCCCGACGATGACGACGGTGACGGTGACGGTGATGATTACGATGACAATGACGACGACGGCGATGGCGCAGACGGTAGCAGGTTCGGGGTCAAGCGGCAGCGGAGCAACGCGACGGGGTAGGACATGACGACCGACTCTTGGGCGAAGGGAGGGGAGGGTTTGTTCTCCCACCCTCCCACCCCCGCAGCTCGAGACTGTTTTCCGTTTTCTTTCTCTTCTCATTCTGACTAGCGATATACCGGCTTCATCCTCCTCTTCACACTTGTTGGGCATCCTTTCCCCTTTTTTTTTTTTTTTACCGGCGCTCACTGTTTCTATATCTAGGCGGCTGAAGTGCTGCATTTCAGTATATCTTGTCTTTGTTTCTCTCTCTTTTTTTTTCTTCAGACCAGCTGAGAGAGAGAGAAGATGGAAGCATCCGGACACGTTCTGACCCTTTCTAACTACTCCGTCAGGGACACACGTTGCATCGTGTTTTTATCTCATGTTAGCCAAGCTCTATATACATTATATCACCACCACACTAGTGGACAGTGGCTCTCTCTCTCTCCCTCTCCCTCTCTCTCCCTCTCCCTCTCTCTCTCGCTCCTCCTTATAGTTTACTCATCATTCTGGTTGGCTGTTTTCTCAATGTGCGTTGGGGAGGGACAGAATGAAGGATATCGAGGTAGCCAGCAAATCTGGAGTTTCTGGGGCGTTGCTTGAGATGCTGGGCAGAGTACCTGTGATTTGATAGATGATACGAGTACACGATTGAGGCCAAGTGTCCTATAATGCTGTCTTCTCCCCCTCCCTTTCCCATTTTGCTTCCCCTCTCATGCGCATCTGTGTGTTTGCTAGCACGAGTATGACAATCTACGTGGCTTCTGTCGTGGCCATCAGGTGCGTTGGGTGCGTTGGGTGCGTTGGGTATTACAGCTGAACAAACAGGGATCATGGACCCTTGTCTCTCTCCCTCTCCCTCTCCCTCTCCCTCTCTCTCTCTCTTTCTATCTCTCTTTCTATCTCTCTCTCTCTCTCCGACTTGTAATATCACTCGTATG